ATACATTTCATTTTATGACTTGTTAGCCAGGGGCTACAAAACGCAATCAAACGGTGTCTTGCCAAACGCCTAACTAATGGATTTATGGATTTATATGTTTAATACGCGAACATCTCCACTATACCGCATAAGTCTATGTTGAGTCCACCACAAGGCTTTTCACTTTATCACGCGATTTATTTTCACAAGAATTGCCATCCTACGGGACTTGTTAAGCAACGCTATTTTGCCCGTAATAAACCATTGTTCCATTGTTCCATTTGCCACCAGGTTATGTGGGATATGTTCTGAAATCCTCCTAAACAACCTCTGAATTTGGCCCACTTACTTGCTACCGAAATTACAATGAAAGAGGTATATACAGGAGGCGGCAACTGTAGAGTATGGGCTGTCTATGTCGGATTTGCTATGCAACCTTATAACTTGGTGGAGTAGGACCAAGTCGACCGCACAACAGTATTTCTTAATAGATTGTCGAAGACGAGATTGAAATCGCCAGTCATTTTGGAGCACTTTGAATACCTTTTCTTACGAACTTCGGCCTTACTTCCCTCGATTATTCTTTCATCTGAGTGGCGGTTGAGCTTGATGAAAATGGTTTTAATTCAGCATGGCGAAATGTGGACTTGTTGGCATCCGTCTTCAGCTTATCTGCCTGTCCAGCTGAAGACCGGATTTGCAGCGTGCTTTCCATGAAAGCGATATCGGAGTAATCGCGAGGATGGCTCTGTCTGCTCAAAACATGCTGATAATAAATTGCAAAAAGTAGATCAGCAACTTGAACTTACACGAAGGGTATTCGGAATGTTCCAGCTATCTGACTTCCCGTAATGAAGCCCCATATGGTGTACGCAACTCAAGCTCAGCATACCTGGTGCAAACACCATACTGATACGCTTGAATTTCTACAGCTTAGTCTGACCAGTTTCTTTAGGGGATTGTTTTAGGTCCCCTCCTAACTCAGACTGCAATTCTTGGAGTTGTACATCGGTGAATTTCGGTGTCAGTTAGGAGACGTTATCATTGTTCACCTAATACTGCTGAATGTCAATAATGGCAGATGAAACCTGTTGTAACCTATCCACAACAACAACCTGAGAGTCCACCTGCTCAAACTAGCTACGCAGCAAAGCTACTTCAGCAAAGCATTCGAAAAAGTCAATCATGAATTGCTTCTAGACAGATTAAGGTCGTGTGGTGTCGGAGGATCGTTACATCGATGGATTCATGAATTTCTCGTTGAAAGAAAGTGGAGGGTACAGGTGAACGGCCATCTAACCGATTGGTATCCCTCGACCAGTGGTGTACCTCAAGGTACGGTACTGGGACCTACTCTATTTCTCATCCATATCAACGAGCTGCCCCAGCTTCTACGGTCGCCGTGTGCACTGTTTGCGGATGACCTCAAAATCTGGCGAGAAATTAATACTCTCGATGACTGTGACATTCTCCAACAAGACCTCGACCACATCGCAGTATGGTCTGCTGAAGTCCACCTACCGGTCAACCCGACAAAGTCCCTATTCATGAATCTCGGGATGGCTGTTCACGGACAAACGTACATCCTAGACGGTCAACCACTGCATCCCACACCTTTCGTGAAACACCTAGGTGTACTCTCACGCTACGACTTGAAGTTCGTCGACAACACCGACAAACTGTATCGAAACGGACTGCGCATGCTCTGGGCGCTGAAACGCAGCTTCTGCACTTGGTCTGAGGACGTCGCCACTCGTCTCTTCTCTTCCATCGTCAGACCAATGGTAGAGTACAGCTCGCCTGCATACTGTCCGATCACTCGCGGCGAAGCGCAAAACATCGAACGAGTACAACACATCGCCACCAAGTTGATCCCCAGCTTGAGAGGTTAATCGTATGAAAACCGGTGCATGAAACTTGGGCTCTACACCTTGTCATATCGCCGTGTTCGAGTGGATCTTATCATTACCTACCGTATTTTACATCTCGGCCATTTCCCCATGCTAAGGTTGTTACTCCACTTGCGAGTACCATGCACCACACGTGGGCACAGGTACAAACTCGTGGTACCTGATCTGAAGAAAATCCCACACCCCCTGTGTTTCGAGCGGAGGGTTGTGCACGACTGGAACAGTCTGCCAGAACACGTCGTCGAGGCCCAATCTGTGCAGAAATTCAAATCTTTGTTGGATTTACACTTCGCTAACATACGTTTCAGAGAACGATTGCCACTTGACAACGATATCACCCACTTGTGACTCACTGTGTAAACAAGCATTTTGTGTGCTACAGAAGTTGTTGAACCATCTCAGGATAACCACCGGACGTGTTCATTTTTTTAAAAATGTTTTTTGATTATCACCCGATGGAGTTGTACAGAATTATTTTCTACTTGCTCCAAAATACAGTATTCAGTATTCAGCAGTACAGTGGACTTGACTATAGACAATCGTGTTTCTCCTTTCGGGTATATTAAACCAAGAACACATTTCGAATAGGTCATTCTTACCCCAAAATTTACGCATTCAAAAATCGCTGAGAACACCATCCCATTTACACTTCGTAATTTAGTCCATTTCACTCACGGGATGCAATAAGTCAAACCAAACAACGTACTCACTAGCCCCTTCCCAGTAAAATAGCGGCGAAGAAAACTAACTTAATGTTCATGTGAATAACTCGGTGAGTCACGTAAAATGCATACTTCTCCATTTTTCATGTCGTATTTAACCTTTGATTTTATAATCATCACTCTGATCATCCCATGAGACTTGTCCCGCAATCACTTCTTTAGCATCGTGCATTGTTCCTAATGTTAATTCATTTAGTGGTTGCGAATGCTAACATTGAGAACGTGCCCATGTTTAACCTAGACGATATAGGCATCATAAAGCTAGGGTAACGGTCTCCACCAGATTAAATGAAGTAATATCAATCTATCATTAGAAAACTACAGCTGGATCGAGGAGGTTGATGTTGGTCTATTAGTCGACGATTATGTTCTCCCTAGAGTGGATCAGCAAACTGCTTCCGCACAGGCGTCTGGATATGAAAGTGCGCGAATCTGTATCAGTCCTCATTCAAGTCGATAAAGAGGCCCGTTTGGTTCTGATCCGTATTAACAAGTTGATGAGTTCAATTATTTTAAAACGCTTACTTTGTCGACAAAGTCATAGCTTGCAAGGTTAATAAATTGTCAGCTGACCGCATACAGCTACAAAATACCTATATAATACTTATCGATACTTTCTCTAAAAGCATCATCAGTCTAAGGCAAATACACGCGGAATGGTTTATTTACATCACCTTGGGTTTCGCTCTTGTAGGCTGGACGAAGAAGATGCGCAGTATTGTTGCTATAGTGTAGGTTTTGACGCCCTGTTCCAGGACAATCTTCACTGCCCAGAACCATTCGGAATGTCATCACGAAATGGCAACTAAAACGTGGGGCATGCTTGGGCCCATCTGTTTTCTCCAAAATGATCACTGGGAACAAAGCACTAACATGGGATATGAAATTAAATCAGGCCTACGGGAGGTAGAAGCAGCATTTCTCTATTTTTGAGATCTTGATTCATCTTGCAACTACAGTCTACAAGAACTATACCACTTATAAAGTGAGCAGCAGCTGATTGGACTAGTCATTTTCATTGGACGCCATAGAGCTTTTTAAGTTGATCTAATTTTGGTTATCCAGAAGTTAGGGCACCCTAATAACGGGTAATGTTGACTGTTAGAACCCAGCCATAAGAGCAGACCGAGAGGCTATCGTCGCCCCCAGTCAAAACAATGCAGCCACTTTGCTTCTTGTCGGAGTATTTACTTCAAGTGGAATCGTCTCCAACATATGTAGTTTCGAGTTAATATTAGCTGTGTTCAAAGATGATATCGTTATTGTGCTGGCCGCATTACACCCATCCCATAACGAACAAAACCCCTACAAAAGTTGTATTAAAAACATAAACCCACAACCGTTTTAGTAAGAAAAGCAGAAGCATCAGACTGGAGGACTGCATAACACATGTGTGATCCACTCGGATATATAAAACATTGCTGGGCAAGTTCAATTCTGAAGGTTGCTTATTGTTTCGTCTTGTTTATTACTTATAAACGAACAACCTGCTGGATATGTGAAGCTTTGACTTTTATTCCAACCATACAAATTATCACTGACTGAGGGCCAATTTATAGCACCAGTTGTGTGTGTGTGGCCGAATTGAGTGAATTGCAACTGAATGTGAATTGTGGTTCGGGTTTAATTTGGTTGTTACACAACCAGCGCTACAATAGGACGCCTCCAACACTGGTCCACTTCGGTTGGAGGTAAGCATCCCTGTCAGTGTACACAGGTTATGCCATTTCATTGCCTTGACAGCATTGTGCAAACACCTGCAGTGCACATCAAAGAACAGCGCATTCAGTGCAGACGTTCAAGCATATGTACCCGCTGTAAATACTCACTCCCATAAAAGACGAGTGCATCATGTTGTCTGATAGCAGGCCCCAAAACGTGAATTATTTGTGCCTGAAAAGGTTGTCTGGCCTTTTTCACTTAAGGTAAATGCCATGCGGTTTTTCATGTGGATTGGAATGCATTTCTTGTGGGGAAGTGGACCGCAATAATCTATTAATATGCCATTAGGGTGCGCCAAAGTTGAGAATCAAAAAAGTGGCGCGGGTATTCGCTTGTGTCTGGAGGTCATTACGGGTTTAAAACAGAAACGAAAACGTGCTTTTCAAATTGGCTACAAACATTAGAAGCGTAAAAAATAGCAGGCTCTGTGTACCGAATGCTAACACCTCAGTATTTTGGCGATCAGGGATCTATAGCTGTAGTGATGGCTCTAGCGATTATGCCGAGTCAAACATTGATCACTTAAGTAAATGCTTCAACAATAAAGTGTTAAACATGTGCGCGTTTGATAGAACGTCTTTTCAGTGATGTCACCATCATTATTGTCATTGGCACGCGAAGCGTTATTTCGCTAATAAACCTTAAAATAATAAAAATATCTGCTTACCTACATACTGCCGAATGCTTATCACAGCGATGAACACAATAAGAAGACCTCCAGTGAACTGATAATTAAGTTGGTCTACAAAATCCACGCCTTCACCACCATAGGGCGTATAAAATATTTTTCCTATGCGTAGGACAGAATCTGGATTCATTTTGCAATATCTTCTCTCGGAGGTCCAACTATTTCTCTTTTTCTCAGCTTCCGTTGCTTGGACAGAACAATACTATTATGGTTGTGTTTTCTCCGGCAAATATAGGGAAAGCTCGGAAATACATGTGACTGCCACATTGTTTTCAGTCATTGTGTCGCAAAAGGAGAATTTGCAGATTAAACCGACGACGCATAATCCGCGCGGTATCCAATTAGCATGGAATAGACGATGCGTAAATTTGCAGTCTTTCAACAGAATTCATGCTGCAATTTCATGGGGTCACGTTGTGAATAGTTCGTTTGCACCGTCGCACGGAATTAGCAACTACAATACGCTGCAGCTGTGCATTATATTTCCCCACTTCAGAGGTCGTTCACCTCACTTACGGTGGGTGCACTGTGTGAGCGCCGATGGTCACAAGAAAATACAACTCGCGTTCGAGTTTTGCATTATTGCAGGCGTAGTTATATTTGATCTGATGGTGGGACAAACACACCGGAGGCGGGTGTCCGACATCAACGTGCGCAACAATCTATGCGCAGCTACCCAATCTTCAACCGTTGACGAAGTAGGAGATGTGTGACAGGATCCTGTTTAGGTGCGGCAGTTTGAAAGCTGCATGCGCATAGTTTACAAAAACAGTGCCGTTTTTGAAAAAGCAGAGTAGCAATAATCTTAACAATACCGTTAGTATGGTGTACGCATTTTATTTGCATTGTTTAGCAGATTGGGCATAAAGGATCAGATATTTCTTTTTGCAACATGTTAAACATAAGTATTAGGGGAAGATATATCCAAGGAGATTAGTGCCACTTCGCATAAACCAACTATTTGAACGTCTAGATAAACTAAATTTGGTCCGTCTTGGGCTGAATAAATCAAATAATTTCGGTAGCCCAAAAGCATATGTCTCCTGTCTCATAATTTATCATCCACAACACGTAATAAACTGAGAATAGTGCAACAAAGCAATTTTAAGGTTTTTTTAATATTATTAAAAATATTAATACAGATTTCCTTTCCGCTTGGCATCCAATAGTAAATGATCATACTAATTTTTAATTTAATTTTGTTCGTACACTTTTATTTTGATTTGCTAACTTAGAGGACTGGCTATAACACGATGGCATAAGTTAATTGTTTAGGTTGTGAAATATGATATAGTATCAATAGCAATTTCTTATGGGGCTGCTTGTTTTCGATTGCGTATTTTGTTTTTGTGGGCAACAGCTGTAGGTTATACTTTTGACCGCATCATAAGTTCCAAAGAATGAGTTCACTCTACGGAAACATTATTCAAAGTAGAGTAATATTCTTGAGAAAATATTTGAAGAGAGTTAAAAGTACCTCAGTGATTAAATTGAGGACCGAAAGGGTAAGCCGAACGTTCTACAGTCCACAAAATTAGGTCCCTTAAATTTAGTTTGTCAGTGAAGTTATTACGTTAAGGAGATGTTGGTGTATAGCTGAAAACATAAAGAAACATCGTATTAGGTTATAATAAACACATGTTTATTTAGTACGCCTACTGAATTCAGATTACTTAAGTGGAAATCCAGCAAAGTTTGCAGTACGCTCGAGATGTTACTGTGCAAGCAATCATGAATTTTTTTCGGAAAACGTCAACGTTGCTAGAGTACTGAAAGTAATCGAAGTTAGTTGAAAGTAAGATTTCTCTTAAAACACATGACGTTACTCAAGGTTTTTATAAATAAACCTTCACACACATAGAATAATTTTAGTTCGCATATTCCAAACTTATGAAAATTTCAAAATAAAATAATGCATTGCAAATAACCTTAATGTATGCAGAGGAAGTAAATGAGTGGTGCACCGAATAAATTGGTATTTTTCCTCGGTGATCAATTTACTGCGCATTTCTAAATCAATAAAAGAGGGGTTTCCTTGATTAAATAGGTAAATACTGGTACGCGACTCTTCAGCTAATGACGTATATATGAACCCTGAAAATCTTACCTGTATTGCTAAGAAGGCGATCGAAATTTTTTCCCATATTAAACACACATGAATTTACTGAAGCTCCGGATAAGATAGTCGAGAAACAGTTATAACCGCTACACCAATACCCGTTTCCTGTTGTAAAACAGCAAATGGGACACATACATAGAATGTAAGGGTTAGTTGGGCATTAGAAAGTGTGAACCAGCAAACAAGTCCCCCACAAGCGTATGCCCTCTAAAAGATCGTTTAACTATCTGGTGAATATACCTTGTTCTTCAAAATAATTTTGCTTGTGTCAGTCTGTCCAAACATAAATGTATACTTGCTGGATTAACCAAAAGAGAGAAGATAGCAATGTATAGAACATCTTATTTGCAGAGAATGTGGCAGCTTAGAACGAACTTAATTCCTAAAATAGGATTCATTACAGAGTATGTATATATTTATATGTATATATATATATATGTATCACAACCAATAACACAAGTAAATCGTTTAGTTAACACTGTTAACTTAAAATTGCTTCTTAGGTCTCAGTGGACTGCATTACTGTATTGGAAGCGAGCAGAATGTGAACTTTGTTGCAAGATTTATGGTTGAGAAGAAGATAGATTGCCCTTTGTATACAGGAGTGCCAGTAGAATTACGAAGCCGCGCTTGTCTCCTCTATGTATTTCTACTCAAATATTAAGTGAATAAGTGAAAACATATATAATCGGAAAATAGAGGTGCCATATTACATTCACACATGTACCACGCTGCATAAAGTGGTTCCGTCACCTAAACCTCTCACGTGGAAATTTAACTCATGTTTCAATGTAAAATGAAAGCGATGTCTTTTAGGAACTACTGTATCCATACTCCATAGGATTTTCTTCACTTGTACAAAATGTCACACCGGCAGAAAAAAGGCTATTTTGATCCACAGCATTCCAGATATCTGAATTTGGAGGTTGAGTAACTGCATTGACTAATGATCCCCCAAAAATAAGGACAATTTTGCTTCCCAAGAATTCTGTATTATTTAGTTTTCTCTCTTGATAAATCACATGTATGCAAGAATGTTCGCGGCCAAAGGGACTCCGTTGAGCATCTGACACCATAAAAACCCCTTTGTGGCAACACGTACTAGTAAATCCGACTAACTGATTTACATCAAAGTAAAAAATTCAACTTCCATTCCTATAGGGCCAATACTTATTCTGCATTAATACATTTGCTTAGGACCGTGTTATACCTGCGACGATTACCGGCTGCTGTAGACATGTTAACTCGTCAAATGGTTAGATATGTCACAGCTTTGCTGTACGTACTTTTTATTTGAATGTTTACAGCACTAGATAAGCTGTATGTCTCATTGCTTGTGCGTTAGCAGTTAGTAGATGAAGGCAAACTATGTTGCATCACAAAGGAAACATCGCTAGGCTGCACATAGTTCACCATTCTGTGGTAGCGCAGGAGGTAATGGATCGGATATTGCAACTATCAAACAACCCCTTTTACACGCACGCAAATTGACCTCTCGGTAGAGATATACTTTTATACTGAACGAATTTTGATGCTTTAAGCAAACCGGCCGTGGTGACTGGAAGTAAACTTCATTATTTCCACACTTCACAATGACACAGGGCACCCACGGGATTTGTTGTATTTTGTGCGCGCAAAACACCCTTAGTCCTTGTAGTGTATAGCTGCTAAATCTTGGATGAAAGCAATTCACATGCTGCTCTTGAAAGCTAGAATCTATCATGAAATTTCTATATCGCCTATCTGCTTTTTCTTAGAGTATGCTATTTATGCAACTTTTCACCCAGCACCACGTTTGTCTTCCAGATTTAAAACATTTTAAATCAAATTCCATGTAAGTTTGCTTACCATGGAAGGATTAATAGTTGATCTTGTTCGTCTTACTGAGAATTCAAAATTTACAGTTTGTAAAACGCTGCGGTACCTTCTACAGCTTTAGGATTTGCCTCTCCCAGAGCCACATGTGGGTACGCATGGACGGTTCTTGTATTTCAGGTTCGAACCGATCGGAAACTCCACACTCGTTTCGTCTTAGTCCTGTACTTCTCCCTTCTTCACGCCTGAGTTGTGGTCGGCTGCCGTCCTGTTATCCAGTTTTTCTTTGAGAGTTATTTGGCAAGTTGGCCACATTCCAACCTCCAAAACCACAGATAGGGGAAATGCTCGATCGGACATCAATTGAAGTTGTGACTTTTTAGAAGTCTGTTGTGATGTTCTATGATCCAGCAACCGCACTGACAAAGCTTCCTCCCAGTCTCCATCCTTTGTCAATCTCCACAATTTAATCATTCTTTTGCTTTGTTTCGTCAAGCAATTCATTTGCCGCTGGTATGGGGTTGAGCGCACTTCCTTGGTACCAAGTTTCTCCAAGCAGTTCCGGAATTCCTCGCTCTCGAAGCACAGACAATGGTCGGTTAATATGTCCTTTGGGATTCCGTGATCCGCTATCAAACGTTGCACGACGGCACGAGTAATGGTGCTCTTCCGTAGATCCGGGATTCCCGTTGATTCAATCCAGTGGGTAAAGTGCTCCATCATCAACAAGATGTTTTAGTTGCCCCACTTAGTCAATATAAACTGTCATATCTCGTTAAACCACGGTAGTTTAATAATTTCTGTTGTTGGAATAGACAGCACTGCTTGTTGTGCGTCTCGGCAGTCGGTTTGCAGGAGCTGGAACTACTTGAACAAAGGTATTAATGCATCGATGTCATTTTTCATGCCCGACCAATAGGCGCGTGATCGCAGCGGGAGGTACGTCCTGGCGCAAACGAGTGACAAGAAATAAACTGCTTCCACCTTAGTTTTGTCGGGATAGCCGGTACTGGCTAACACCCTGATATCCATATTAAGATCTCCATTACATTTATTTGTGGCTTCTCAAGATTTTTCGCAGATGGTTTGAGCTGCTTGTGTTGGCTCTTGTTCAGGGCTGATTGACCGTTTATTTGTGTAGCGTTCACCTAGTGTAAGAGTTAGTCACTATGTGGTTTGGCCACTAACTGTCCCAGATCCTGCTCCAAGAATATACCATTAATACACAAAGCCGCATTAAACAGGTCATCTTCTTTCTTCATGCTTGAGAAAATTCCACAGTTTGGTTCACTTCCTCGGCACGTGGTTTCTACTAAAATTGTACTCCTGTAGGCGCAGCGCCCATTGCGTTAGTTTCTCCTGGGGTCTTTGGCTAACTTAATCCCTACCAAATGCTAGTGGCACCGTTTCGACGAAAAATCTTTGACCCAGCAAATATGACAACCATTTGTCCAGCTCCCAGACGATTACAAGAAATACCTTCTCTATGGTTTAATATTTGCGCTCTGCCGGTGTCAGAATTACGCCAGTGTACTTAATCCTCTCGTGGCGTTGTTTCAAAACTGCAAAGAGTTGGCCTCGCCGGCATCAATGATCACCATATACCCCTCTCCACTAATGAGCAACTCCAGGGTC